ACACATATACACAATACCCTTTTTACCCTATTTCAATGGGTTCAGGGTATAAAAAAAAATATATATGTGTTTTTTATTAAATTATTGCACTTTTATCCAATATGCAAATAATATTCTTTTTTGCTTAAGTAAAAAAGTTCTATCAAGCATGCATTTATGCTGAAAATTAACAAAATATTTTGGCTTTTTAATGTGTATTTTGCGGTGAGGACAATTGCTAGTTGTTGTTTTTGTTGCTGTTGTCCTTGAGCAATTTTCGTAATTAATGGAACAACCAGGCCTCAGGCCTGACCTTTGGCCTTTGTAAAGTAGTGTGTGCTTTGTTTTCTTGAGCAGACACACAGAAAGTGTGCCCCTTCTCCTCCTCCCCTCTCTGCTCGACTCGCTCTGCATCCCCCACGTAATTTGTAGCTTGTGCTTTGTTTGCGGGGCGCTTGAAATTAATTTACGAGGTGAAACTTGTTTGCGCCGAGAACCCTTTTTGCGCTCCGTCAGCCGTCGAGTCCATTGAAGCATTTAAATTGCTGTCAACAAAAAGGCAAACAAATAAATAAAAGCCAATAGCAGCAACTGCCCAGGCCGAGGGCGTTTTGGCCATCAAATGACCCATGGCAACCAGGACGAAACGTGCGCCACGACCAAATGATTAACACGTCCCATTCGTGCTGCAGCTGTTGCTGCTGCTGCTCCTAAACTGAGCTCGAGATAACTCGAAAATATGCACAACATGGACCGCATCTCTATGCCGAGCGCAGTCAGGCGCTTTAATTATCATAGTTTATCACGGCAAGTGGAGCGGGCTGCGGATATTTCGGAGCAGAGCGCCAGCAAATCAGATAGAAATCCTCAACTGAAGGCACGCGCCACACGATGCTGATGACGTTACCATTCCCGTTCCCGTTCCCGTTCCCATTCCCGTTCCCATTCCCATACCCGTAGCCATTGACGTTGTCGTTGACGTGGCAGGCACACAAATGGCACACAATCAGCCCAAGGAAACCAGAGGAAAAAAAGAAGCACGCAATGAAATGGGAAAACGTAACACACGAAACACATGAAAATGGCAAAGCAGGTAACCAGTTTAGTTCCCGAAGGTCGCTCAGTTTAATGCACTCAGAGAAAAATTATGACTACTTAGCAATGCAACAAAATTTCGTTAGCCGAGCCTGCTTTAATTGACTGGTAACTCCCTACGCTGTGTCGTAAATCAAAAAGCAGCAAAACGTGTTTTAAATATTGCCCTCCTATGCGATTCTCATGAATGCAATTTAGTCCTAAAGGGTTTCATGATTTGATTATAAATATTATATTTACCATTTGTATTGATAATCTAATACTTTTCTCGTTCTCTCGCTCTCTTCCAGTTTCTTTCTCTTGATATATCCTGCTCTTGCACAAATGCGTGCTCAATTCTTCAGCTCTTTTAGTAGTGTATTTATATAATAGTCTTTCTCTTATAATATCTGGCCTGTTTGCGAACTTATTGAATATAAAATGTATATATTTTTTTATATAAAAACAAACGTGTTAATGCAATTAAGACCTGTTCCAGGGCTAGCTGCCAGTTGAAAAAAAGATATGCGCACAAAATTTTCCCATTTATATGTTGGTTTTTTTTGCCAGTGTACTGCTGCTGACCATGGCTATAAATAGTAGGCCAGCTACTCAATGCATGCAAATGGCCAATAAAGCAAATGGCGGCCAGTTTTTGCCCGTCATCATTTATAATGCATTCAAATGCCGCAGGTACAAAAAACCGATGCGAGCTTCAGCTAGATCTGAGGGAAAAGATACAGCTGTATCCAGAGGCTCAGGTCGGCCAAAGGCTGTTGATATGGTAGCTAATCCGTCAGCACTTTGCTGCCTGCAGCCTGCTGCCAGTTGCCAGTTGCACAGCCCAATCGAACCCGACAATTGAGTGCCAGGCAGGTCGTAATCGCTTGTTGATCCTGTTAAAGGCTTGAGAGCGAAAGGCAAATACTTTTGGCCAACAGCTGCTGCTGCTGCTGTTGTTGCTGGTCGAGCTGCTGGTCAAACGGGGTGACATAATCAAATCAATAATTTATGAGTTCACTTTGCCTTAAGCGGATTTACATGGCCTGCACTTCAGCTGAGTCTGTCCAAAGGGGCTGCGGCTGGGGGCTAAAGAAAAAGTTTTTGCAACTGAAACTGAAACTGAAACTGATATCAATTAGATGGAAAGTGATAAGTTGTCGCCAGGGACTGTCAGTTGTTTGTCTGTTTGTCTGTTTGTCTGTTTGTCTGTTTGTCTGTTTGCCTAACTTGTGACTGTCAAAACCCATGTGGGATTAGCTGCCGGAAAAGGGGGTGAGTTAGTCAGAATTGGTTTGGGGAGGGGTGGGGCATTTTGAATAGGCTTAACGACGCGCACACTCCACGCGCTGTGGAAGCCGTTCGGCATGTGGATGATAATGCTCGTGTCGAATGCGACTCAGCGAGGCGTGCAATGTGCCAGAAGGTATGTATGGTGGGCGAGGGCAGTGGCGGGGGTAGGTGCGGCACGGCAACAGCAGCAGCAACAGCAGCAGCAGCAGCAGCGCGCAACTTAACAGCAACCCTCTAAAAGAAAAGCCGCCCCTGTCACAGTCCACAGGGGAAATAATTGCAAAGCAAAAACAAAACCAAAGCGAAAAATCACAAAAACTGTCGCGAGCTGCTTTGTTGCTCAGTTTTTGCGGCTGATTTTCCATTTGTCCATCAGCGCAAAGAGGCAGCAGCAGCAGCAGCCGCAGCAGAGGGCAGCTTGCTGCGACGCAGGCAGCGCTGCTTCTTAGATGAGCAGCAGCAGCAGAAGGCAGCAACAGAAGGCAGCAAACGGCGGCAACTTCAGTCAATTGCTTTTGTTTGGCTGCCAAAATTGCTGGAGAGGATTGGGGCAAGAGGCAAGTCCGGGGACTTCATAAACGAAACAGTTTCCTTAGATAAACCAAACAGCAGCAGAGCCAGCGGCAGAGGCCGCGGCAGAGGCAGCAGCAGAGGCAGCAGCAGAGACACCCTGTATTTCTCCGTAACACGATTTTTGACTAATTTGGCGACCTCGCAGCGCACTTTTTGCGATTAGTTTTGGTTTTTGAAATGCGTTGTCCCGCACACACACACGCGCACACACACACACATATGCAGATAAAAAGAAATACTCACAGTGCGCGAGGCAACGTCAACATTACCGTTATGATTACAATGACCCCCATGATCCCGGCCAGCATTGCTGCATCTCCGTCCCCATCTCCGTCTCCTTCCCCTTCCACGTTTCCATCTCCGACTGTTTGTCATGTCCTTTGTGCAGTCGTCGCTTAGCGGCAAATTTAGCACTGCAAACGAAACGAAAGGCAGAAACTGAGGCCAACCAACCAGGCATCCAGTCATCCAGCTAACCAGGAATCCAGCCAGGCAGGCATCCAGCCAGGCCTCACTCATGCCGCACTTCATGCCGCGGCTGCTATCTACTCCTGGACTGCGACTCCTCTGTGGGCCAGCAGCAAAAGGCCCGCAGTTTAAAGTTTGCCTCTCATCGCATTTCTGATGCAACGTTGGCGGCACATTCAAATATACACAACAGATGCCCCCCAACTCTCCCCCTCTTTCTATTTGACAGGCCTGGGACAATGCGGCGTATGATTATTTGGCTGCTAATGTGAGGGTAGTTCTTGGTCGGTTTGCGGTTAGTGCAACCCTTCTTCTTCCTCATATTCTACTGCCTGGACAGTTTGATTTCACTTTAAGGAAATGCTGTCCAGGCACACGTAGCAGACGCGAGCAGTGCAAGCGGAAGCGTCGCCATTGAACAGCGACCGGAAGTCGACAATTGACAATTGACAATTGGAAACGCTGCAATCAGCGTTCGCCATTTCGGGAGTTCGTCGAGCATGAGCCAGAGCAGGATTAGGTGCACGAGCTGGTGATGAAACTTAAGCGCTGCTTAGACAAGCTGTAGCCCCGTTATGGGTGTTGCGGGGGGACTGGGGGGAGATGGGGCTTAGCCAATGCCCACAGCGATCTGCTGATTGGCCAAAAAGTGTTGATGGCGCATTTCGCATTTCGTAGGGCAGTTCGTTGGAGTTCAGTTGAAGAGCGTTAACGGCAGCGGCTGCTGACTGTTTTTCACATTTTTCCGGCCAACATTTTTCGCCGACTGTTGGCCCCCAATTTTGATTAATGGTCAAGCTTTGGGGCGGCGTCGACAACGCAGCCGGCGGCGACTTTTTTATTTGGCAATTATGTTGTTTAGAGCCTTGCACGGTTTTCACACCTCGGAACATTTTTCATGCAACGTCCACACTTGCCCACTCCTGCCGCAGCCCGCCCCCTCACAAACGGCCCTTTAAAGTGCGGACTTTGATTTCATATTTCGGTGCTTGTCACTGACATGCAGCATCATTAATTCTGGCCAAGCGGCCCGTACCCAGCCCCTCCTGGCTGACTCTCAACTGGCTTTGTCATTTTTCAACAGTTTTTGAGATTTTTTGACACTTGACAAGTGTTTCCGACTGCGCCAGAAAGGTGGCTAAAGGTGCAGTCAGCCCCGGGGAGCTTACCAACCAATATCTGGCAAAATGTTCTTTCAACAATCTGTCTTTCTCTTTCCGCCTCCACTGCGGCTGAATTTTATGCAGATGAAAGCATTTAAGATGTTGAGCATTTTTACACACTGCATCGAAGTATGCATACCCTTTCCTGTTGACAGTTTATATGAGACACAGACTCGTTTTAATGACATTTTAGTTAAAACTGCTTGTAAAGGTAGTACATTTAAATAGTTTTTGTAAATAAAGTTGTAGTTCTTAAATATATTCTTGTATTTATAAATCCAGCATTGATTTAATAGAAGAACTGCCACACAACAAGGTAGAGCATAGAGAATGGCCAATTGCAGACAGCTTCCAGATAAAATGTTGTCGCGTGGCTGCACCACGTGCCTTATCAGAGCGCCAGCCACCCAACGCCTGGTAATTAGCCGAGGCAATAAGAACACGAATAGCTCGATTAAATGAGGCGTTAAACTCGATTTCGGACTGGGCATAAAACAAACGTACATATATTATGTGAATACAGTTCAGAGTTTGCCGTCCTGAAACAAATGAATCCATTTATACGGGCTTCTTGGCCCCCTGCTGCAGAGCAAGCTGCTGCCACTTGGTGCCATCGTGGGGCAGGGGGCTGGGCACAAACGGCGACAGCATAGTCCAGAACAGACGCTTGCCCAAGACCAGCTGAAGATTTTGCCAAAAGCCGAAATCATAGCTACGATCACGTACAGAATACAAACAGCTGCCGCGGCTCATCATGATCAGCTGCAGGATCAGGTGCGAGCCGGCCAATATCATGGCGAAAATATTGAGCTTGATTACGCCGCCATTTATGATCATCCAGGTCAATTTGGAATCGAGTGTGGGATCATTGCTGTTCTGACTCGGGAGACTCGTGAACCTCAAGCCCACAGATAGGCCCAAATAGCCAATGGGATCGCTGAACAAGAACTGGCGCTGGCTCCACAAATGGTAAACATTGTAGACGAAGGTAATGCCACAGCCCAGGCTCAGGTGGAACAGCAGGCCGACAAAATAGCGCTGATTGCGATGCCCAACACAATTGGCCGTCACATTGCAATGATGATCCCGCTTCAGCATGCAACAATTGCAGAGACGGCAATGCCAGGCACGCGGCGGCACCAGCATCTGGCAGTGGGTGCACAAGTGCCACAGATGCGCCTCCGATGGCAGCGGATGCTGTCGACTCTTGGGCAGTGCCACAAAGCTTGTGTCTGTGCGCCAGCACATGATCATGTTGCCCGCAACATTGTGGAGCAGAAAGACGCAGAGCAGCCAATTGAAATGATAGAATAGGCCGGACGTGTCACAAAGCTCGGGCAGTATGTAAAACATTTCGTATATAAAAAAGAATCCAACGGCGAGCAGCAGCAAGGCTGCCGACAGGGGATGAAGTATCCGAATTATTCGCACGCGATGCCGTTTGATGAAGCGCCACATGCTCGTCTCCAGGCAGATGATTGAGCGGCACACCTGCCTCAGGACTCTCACGGGAATTTTGACCATTGTCGACACAAAAACCAAAAATAATTAAAATATAGCAGAACGAAACGCGACAATAAGTGCGAGTTGAAAACTTTGTTCAAATGTTTGGGCAAATTATTTGAGCAAGTGCTCGGTATGCTCAGTTTCTACTGATTGTCCAGGGGTTGCTTTTGTTCCCAACACATTGCTTAATCGCATCAGTCAAATGAAATCCGATTGAAATGAAAATGACATTTGTGTCTATTCTATTGAAAATGATAAGCTGCTTACCCTTGTGCAATTATGAGTATTATTTGATCAGATTGGGCATTCGAAAAGGATTATTGATTTGAAAATTTCAAGGGCAGCTCTTGAGAAATCAATTATATACTTTCTACGCCTTCTTATTCAATGCAATTAGTGTCAAAAATTGTTTACAATTTTTATGTTTGAACTCGTTTCTCATTAATTGCAATTCCTAATCCCAATCCACAAGCTGGGTGTAATAATATTAAATAAATTCTGAATATCATTAAATACCCTACTCTTAATAAAACTAAAGAAAAATTACAAATAAAATATTTCTGCTGTTTTATAAATATTTGATATATAATATGTTTTCATGCCATGCACTGGATAGCATTTGTTATAGTATTCATTAATTTATAGAACCATATGAGTCCCTCGATTTATAAAGCTACATAAACTAATGTCAGGAAGAGACAAAAAAAAATAAATATAAAAGATAACTATCTTTGGGCCGCATTTGTATCTAATATATTTGTTAAATGTTCACATATTCAACCATTTATCCTTAAGCATTTTCTGCTGTTAGGATATGTTAGTCGTAATCTATTGAATTTATTTTGTTTATTTGCCTTAATTTCTCTCAAATGCAGACATTGTGTGAAAAGGGTAAAACGCATTGCCACAACTACACCATAAAGTATTTCTCAATAAGAAAAGCAATTCTCATATCAAATTTCTAATATCAAAATACTTGAAAGCCGCTTAGAAAATAATGAACCACAGTGCGTTATATATGTAACATATTCTAATATGCGTATTTCTAAATGGATATGACAGCTGCATGTTACTTTTATTCCTAGTTTCACTACAACTATTCTACATTTTATTAAATGAAAAAAGAAGCATTCAACATACATTGAAATAAAATAAGTAAGTAAGCATTGGTTGAGCATGCTCGAATGGGAGATGCCCTGTAGTTAGAGCTGCAGACGAAAGAATAGTTTGGAAAATTAATAATTCAATTTAAAGCAAAATGATAAAATACATGAATATATATGGGTTCAACTGAGAATAGACTTTGTTATGAGCCGCTTTGCTGTTTTTTTCGTTGCTAGACGCTTGTAATTCTCAACAGGTTCATGCTACGAAGAGGGTAAGAGGTACCTCTTAGTCGAAAGTGAAGTCTGTTGCTAGTAGAAGAAATTCAGCCTTATATTCGTTGAAACCTAGAACTAGGGCTACCTTTTAGAAACATTTAATTTATAAGAAGCTATTTGTATTGAGAAGTTGCAAGTATAAGAAAATTTAAAAGAAACTTCTTCACGATTTCAGTTTACGGATTTGTTGTACTCAATTTCCGAACTAAAGCAACATTCAAGCCGAACATTGAATTCATATACTTATATATAGATTCAGAAAATAGTTTTAAGAAAAGACATTGGTTCGAAGTAGGAATTGAATTTTTTGTGCTTACGCAACATTCGATATGCCCAAGTTGAACATATTTTGCGGTTACAGACAGAGTATATTAAAATATGCAACTTGACGCTTGCTCTCAAACACAAAACAGCAAACAGCTGCCTCGGGGCTGGCACTGTAAATGCTGGGGTCAAAGGTGGCGGACGGGTCGGGGTTGGAGGAGCGTTTCGAACTGACAGCGAGCCAACGACAACAAAACAGACACAGACACAAATGCTGTCTATTTCGCATACATTTTTATGAATTATTAAGTTGAACTAAGCATTCGGAATGCGTAGCACTCGTTGAGCACGCGGTTTGCCATTTGACTTTGCGGTGGCCCCCAAAACCCACCCAAACCCCCCGCGCTTAACTGTGGCTTTCACCTGCTGCCAAAGCAAGTGCGCCTTTGCCTTTTGCATAAAGTATACATTTGGCGAGAGTGTTGGTGTTGGTGTTGGGGGCGTGGCATTGCCGCACTTGAAGCGTAATGTGTTTGTGCTGTTTGCACACACCGGAAGCAAACAAACAGCCATTTTAGCTGGCGCCTCTCGCGCTGTTATGCCATTTCCGGTCGTTGATACTCCACTCCAGATTGAGTGGCGGCAAGTCGCAATGTTTGTCAACCTGTGGCATTCTTCAGCCTGACTTTCTGCGCCGCCTACAAGTCATTAGCATTCGCCCGACTTTCGTTGGCCAACTTTTCGCATAATTGCAGCGCTTGCCGCTATTTTGAGGCGACTCCGTGGGGCTCTTCTTCTTTTTGGTTTTCATTTACCTGTCGTAATGTGAGACGCAAGTATGCCGAAAGTTTTTACTTAAACGGAGCTCTACAAAACTCGCCCCACTCTCTCTCTCTCTCTCTCTCTCTCTCTCTCTTTTGTTCTCTTCAATTTTCAAGCAATTACCTGGCGTGTGCTGCCCCCGCGGCGCCGACTGCTGCTCCATGTAATTGAGTTTTGACGAAAAAAAGAAATTTGTAAAATTAGATATGAAGCAGCAAAAAAAAGTTGGGCTTAGGCACCTTTACTGTGTGTGCAGCATACAAATTAATAAATATACAAAAAAAAACAAGCTGGCAAACTGGAGAGTGCTCGACTTGCAGATGCCCTGTGAAGAGCTTTCATAAGTAGCGCACGTCTGATATGCATTTGGCATAAACATTATTATTTTGGGGCGACTAGCAGACACCCTGTATTCAGCATTAAGGCTTACGCATTTAAAATATGTTTTTTATATTCAATATATTAATATTTATTTGGCACATTAATACATATAATGGACTGAAAGACTCACTTGAATCGAGCATAAACGACTCGAAGGTACTCTGTAAGTTATCTGGACATCTCTGATGTATCCATGTGGAGTATTTATGTATAAATGTATTTATGTTTAACTTCATTTATATCTGCACACATTGTTCATGATGTGCTAGAAGATACGCTGTAGACAGTTTATAGCCAAGCCAAATCTATGCTAAGTGCTGCTGTAAGTTTGTATTCCCTCAAAGTCTGCACCGAACTAAATTCAAGTGAAATTTGTTAACATATACGCCATGCTATTCACGCAATACGCCTTCATATAAGTACATACAAGTGCCCTTATGTTCTATATAGGCACAACCAGGCGTACATCAACATTTGCCCGGGCACTTGCTTCAAGCTGTGGCAGCACTACTTCCTCTTTAGTTGCTGCTCGAGAAATGTTTTCTTTTATGATCCGATGGTATTAAAAATTAAAGTTTTTAATACTAAAAAACTTAATAATGTTGGCATAATACATTAAAACTTTTGCAAGCTTATGTGCAAATCTTTTTTCTAGATATATGTAAGTAGATTAAGGCATTAAAAGTTTTTAACAAACCTGACAAGCCACATACCAAGTTTCATGGGCTCTGGGATCAATGGGTATTTTAAATGAATTGCTGGACAAATAGGGAAGCGTAAGCCGACTAGGTCGCTGATAATAATAATAGTTGAAGTCGAATGGGCTGCAATAAGCCTTGTGCTGCCTGTTACTAACATAAGCATAGCTTTCTTATGCCTACCCAAAAGCGCAGCCTGCTTACAGGGTATGGGTACACATCATGCCATATGATCCAAACACGTGTCCTTGATTGTCCTTCTGTTCACTGTTATTTTAGTCTAAGCCAAATCGAAATGTTGCCCATTTAAAGTGCAGGAAAAGCTGCAGCTTCAAACCTTTTATAGCCAAATTTATATTGCAATTTATCTAAGCCTGCGGCAGACATTAATTATGGCCCAGTCGACGCCCACTGCAAGGAGCCAGAGCTAACACTGCTGCCAGAAACATTTATTTCAGTGCGTCGGCACCTGTACACGATTTATTATTGTTAAAGGCGACTGCACCGATTGTTGCGATAGACGAGAGAGATTTTTAATGAACCATCAACAAGGGCAATTGGAGGCAGCGTCAACGTTGCGTATGAGCGATTTTTCAGCACAGGCAGCTGCTACTGCTGCTGCTGCTGCTGCTTATCCGGCCAAATATGTGGGGCATATTAAATATTTGGCACTTGGCGCACAAAATTACTCGGCATTTGTGCAAAATGAGTTGGAACTTTGCCTGTCTGCACACCTTTTCACTTTCTTCGGCTTCCTGTTTGTTCCTTGCTTTTTTTCTTGCTGCCCTCTCTTGCCGCATGCAACATATTTTTCTTGTTTCGGCGGCATATTTCCTGTTTTATTTTCAATTTTCTTTTTCATACAGTTTTCCATTTTGTTTGTCAATGTTTTGCGCCTTTCGACATGTGTTTGACATCCGCACGGGTGACGGAAATGCTTGCGGAGGGACAGAGGGTGGGGCGCGGGTATAAGTGCAATTGATTGATACCCCGAAATGGAAAGTGTATTTAAGGCATATTTGTGGGAGTATTCACTTGTCAAATAAGTCTGAGCGACTACTGTAAGTAAATTCGATGACTACACAAAGCTCGATAACTTTATTTACTCTATTCAACTATCGAAAACTCGATGAGTTGATTACATATATAGAAGTTTAGATTTGTTAGTTTAAATTGATTATATTATCGAGTATACTATCTAAAGCGATTTTACTGATTAAAACTTATATATACATATGTAATTATACTAATATAATCGACATTACTCACATCAATTACTAAACTATCGATTTGTTATCGATCCTTTAAGGATCGATACGCTATTTATCACAATTTTATCGATATGGTAACGCTCTTAAAAGTTAAAAACATGTTAAAATTCATAATTGAACATATTATCGATTGCCTAACTTATCGATATGCTATCGTCAACGAAATAGTCGATATGTTTTGCGTCGCGAATTGATCGATATGTTATATTTGCATAATTTAACATATTATCGATTAACTAATATGTGATATGTGATTGATTACATAATTATCGATATGTTCTCACTAAATGTTCGATTTTCTGTCCATATGTTATCGTTCCATAATTAAACAATTTATTATAAATTAAGAGTATTTATATAACAACTTTTAAGAGTACATCAAATCAACGTTTCTGCGATACTTTAGTTATCTTTTTGGCTTTTTTCTTTTCATAACGCCCCAATTGCATTTAAACGTCACACTATTTCATTTATATATATATGCTGTATATGTATATGCAAAAATTGAATTTGTAATGGTAAACTTTAGGGGCAATTGTGGGCTCTTTGGGCGTGGTATTTACAGCGACCTCGCACCGTTATGGCTTTTCATTATATGTATTCATAGATTTATTGCAAAAGTTTTCTGATTACTTTTTGTGGCATTGGGCGCGGGCATATTTAAAATGCCGCCGACGTTGCCCGGGCCCAATTGCTGATTGACTTGGCTACACGGCACAGCTGCGGCAAAAAATGAAATAAAATAAATAAAAAAAAAGAAAAAAGCCAAAAAGTTGGAACTTGTGAATGGCGAGTGGCAAAGTGGCAAGTGGAAAGCGCACAAAGGCGTCACAACTATTTAGAGGACGCGGGTCGCATAGTTGCCAACTGAAAAGCAATTAAAAACTAATTACAGTAGCCTCCACATAAGCAGCAAAGCTGTGTGGTGCGGCGAGGTGTGGCAAAAATGCGCAGAGCATTTAATAAAAATTTAAAACTTAATTCAGTAAATACCTGATGTGGACAACAGCAGGCGGCAGGTGGGAGCTGGATGATAAGGCGGATAATTAGAGCAAGAGCAGAAGCAAAAGTCAAGAAGACTTAAGAGAAAGAGAGAGGGAGAGAGAGAGAGAGCAGGAGTGGTTGTAGGTGGAGCCCACCTGACTTTGTTCTAGTGTCGCGCAGCCAACGTCGCGTATGAGCAATTAGTAGTTAATTGTGAAGTTACCCGAGGCGATGCCAGGAAATGGAACTTGCCACACTGCAGCACTTGTGACATTGACGATGCGGCACGGATGAGAATGCCAATGGGGCGGGTGAGACACTTGTGAGAGACAGAGGAGAGAGAGCGGGCGGAAGAGAGGTAGGGAGGGAGGGTTGCTGCCAGCGGATGCCAATGCCGTGTAATTAAGTAGCAATTTTTGTTACTGCAGCAGAATTTTTAGTAGCTGGCGACACGTGAGTGAGTGTGCCCGCGTATGTGTATGTGTATGGGGGTGTGTGTGTGTGTGTGTGCGTGTGTATGTAGGTGTAGAGGTGTGCGCATTTGATAAATTATCGCAACTAATTAGCGTATCAATAGCGTTAAAACAAAGGCGCACACAGCTAACAGAGCCCAGAGGTAAACAAAATAGGGTAGAGAGACTTGATGAATTATATAGAATTCTATAGATTAGTTGAATAAATATTTAGAATAGTTGGTGAGGGATATGTGAAATGATTAGCTAAGGGTTTGAAACGCGTATAGAAAGACGTCAAACGCATTGATTTAATAGCACTTCACTAATGAATAACTAAAAGAATTCGAAGTAAACTATGTTTAAAGTAGAACACAGAAACACCTTACTCAGAGTAAGTTAAGCAAATAAGTGCGAGAAGCATGAGTGAAGTGCTCAGCTAGCTATTGTGAGAAGTGCAAGGAAAGGCACTTGAAAAATATAAATATATATAGATTACCTGAAAACTGAGAAAACGACACTACAAAGTTTAATGAATGGGCGCATATGCAAAGCTTAGAAGAACCCTTCTTCAACAACTGATGCCGGTGAGAAGTGCATAGAAGGGCCCATTTTAAAAGCTGAGCCTAATGAGAAGTGCATAGTCAAGCAAATGAAAAGTGCAGAAGGAAAGCTGAGCCTGTTTTTGTAAGTAACCTTTCTGTGGAAAAAAGAGGAAAATGCTGAGAACAAGAAAAATAAGTCGAGAGGCATTTAATTAACAGCTTTTACACAATTTCAAGATAGAGAGAGAGAGAGAGAGAGAGAGAGAGCCATAGCAGCGATTGGAAAGTGTCAATTAGATTGGGTATCCAATAGATCAATGACTGCAAAGCGCTTAAGTACAACTTAAACAATGCTCAAACTAATTGAAATTGAGCGCAGGCGACAGCTGAAAAGCCAAAGCAGCAGCAAAAACAACGAGGCTATCAACAAAATCACGAGAAAGTAGAGACAAGTAAGCCAAAAAGACGATTAAAAGACCAACTAACCGAAAAATGAACAATACCAAATAAAAATCAAACACGCAAAATGGAGAAACAAATGGCAAGCTTTCGCCTGGCACCCCAGACGCCCCTAGCCCCCCCCCCCCCCCCGCCCAGCCCCGACAGCTCCTAAAGCCACTTATGTAAGTAACAGATGAGGCGCCCAGCTAAACAAAGAGCAACAAAGGGGAAAGCACTAGACACAAGAAAAAAAAAGGGGAACAAAAAAGAAAAGCGCGAGAGTGGAAGACAGAAAATCAACGAAAGAAGCGTTGACAAAAATCAAACAATGAAAATGCTGTTCAATAAAAAAAAAAATATAAAGAAAAAGGCGCTGATAAGCAAACGAATTGCGAGAGCCCAAAGCAAAATTGAAAGTGTGTGGGCGCAATAAAAAAAGAAAAGAAAATGTGCGAGCTAATATTGTGGACATAGGGCACAGGAAACAACAACAACAACAACAACAACGGCGGCAACAACAACAAAAACAATAGGCAAAAAAACAAGGCGATGCTTTAAAGGCAAAGGCAAAGGCAAAATCAAGTGCGAACACTTGACTCAATGGCCACTCAATGCGACAAACTTTGCCGCAGCCAAAGACTCAAAACGGCTCAGCGAGCGAGTGAAGCAGTCAAAGAGAGAGTGAGAGCGTGAAAGCGTGAAAGAGAGGCCGCAACATGCTGAGCCGCTGCTCGAAAAACAAAAATTACTCACAGCATCCTTTTTTTGAGCTAAAACTCAACCCCGTTTTGAGTGCTGTGCGCAAAAGCTCAAGCGAAAGCTTTCTGTGCAGCAGAGGCTGCTGCAGAGAGAGCGCATCAAGTGAGTGAATTGGTGAGCAAGAGTGAGAGAGAGCGCGACAGCGTGGCCTGCGCTCTTCAACGGCGCTCTTAATTGTTGCTATTGCATACGAATCCGTTTGCTTTAATCACAAAAGTAATTGCTCTTGAATTTTTAGTCAATTTGCCAAAAGTTAAACGCAAGAATTGCGATTTGATATCCTAGCCATTTGTTAACAAAGTGTAAAGAGCATTGATCAGGACAACTTTTACTATTTGGTCAGGACTTTGATTCGATCCATCTTCATGCTGCAGGTAGTACATAGATCAGATCAGATCCCACTACTATATCATATAGCTGCCGTATAAGATTGGGTTAAGAAAAACTGTGTGTTATATATTGATAGGAACCATAATATTGGGCTTTTATAAGGTATACTTTTTGCTATGTTGTACATACAAAAACTTGCTTCACGTCTACTAGATATCAGCCAGGGTATTTAGACATTGACTGCGCAAAGTTAACTTTCCTCTCTTAATTTGGGTCAAGTTGTGTTGTAAGGAAATAAAGGCCTATTTGATGAATTGCACTTTAACAATAAATATTAAAGCATAATATTGGCATTCACACATGCCCAACAAATACAAAACGTCAATAAAAACACTTTAATTGAAAATGTTTCGCTGCATACTTTTTTGGGCGCCGCTGTTGGGCTAACTGTAACTCGATTGACGAAGACCAGCGACTAAAATTGCAATTTACCTGTCCAAGCAGAGGCACAAGCGTCGCAAGCGTCGCCAGCGCCAGCAACTCCGGCAGGTTATACAGTCGGGACCCCGGTCAAGTGTGAGTAATTGCGGGCAGTTAGACAGCTGGAAACCTGAGCTGGCTGGAGCATGAGGTTCCGGCCAGTCTATGAAATTTCCATGAGCCCAGTGGCCACATGCCATGGCAGCTCTCGGAAAATAGCAGTCATACGAGTTTTCCATTTTTGTTATTGCTTCTCTTGTTGTTGCTATTTTTATTATGGCAGCTGGCGCTAGCGCGGACTGAGGTCAGCTACAGTTGACTAAACATTTTCATTTTGGTTAAGGGTGTGCGTGTGTGCCTCTGTGTGTCTGCGAGTGTGCGTGTGGCCAGAAGTCAATGAGTTTTGCCACATGGCGTATGCTTGATATTGGCCTGAGCGCGTTGCGTGCTTGCCTCGACGACGTTTGCTCAGTGATTTCATTAACTAAGCTCAACAATCGATAAACTTATTCAACAGCTTTCCAATTATGCCACGCCCACGCACATAATTAGTCAGTGACGCCCATAACGAGCGTATTATAATCTAATTGAAAAACAGTTATTTGCATTTTAATTAATGCCACAGGCCGTAGCAAGTCTTACAAAAGTCCAACAGCTGCTGAGGCGACACTGACTAATGAAGAGCTGGAGGAGCACTATATAATACAGAGCATTTATAGGTACACACATATATATACATATAGCTGTAAATATACAATAAATCGGCTTCTTTAATGTTTTGATTTAAGCGAGAAGTTAGCTTAAAATCGGATGTTGAAATTGGGTAGAATTTTTGTCATCAACATATAATCTGTAGCATACTTTTCAGCATGTCAATTAAAGCATATAAATATAAATTTATTATTGTATTTAAATGATAGCATACTTTCGAGCTGCCGCCGTAAAAAGTTACTCTGCATTTCGACGGCCTACTTTAGGGCATACAAATTAATTATTCAATTTGGTAATTTATTGACATAAGTATTCTTTATATGTTATTATTTTATGTTAATCTAAGCATTATGTATATAAACATAAACATATATATAAGAATCACACTCATATTAACACATTTTTGTTTTGTCTAATTCATCTTGCAGCGCTAATTGCGGAACCACCCCAAATCAATAAGAATTTTAAAGTGATCTGGCATTCACCCCAAGTTGGGGAGAGGGTATTGTATGACTAATTTGATCCAGGACGACTCAGCAGGACGACTCAGCAGGACGACTGTTCTCAGAGCTGGCAGAAGTGTATAATTCAAATTTCATGCCATCTTTTTTAATTTAAGTGATTTTAAGTACAATTACAAAGTCAAATCAGATAGAAAGAAATAATTCAAATGAACTAACGTTTTGTTTATGAAACTTCAAATGTGTGTTTGCAAAAACTTTGCATACCTTTAAGCGGTGCGCAAAATTAGCAACCGCCAATTAAAGTTGCATACTTTTGGGGATGCAATTTAAGGTAAACGGCAGCAACATAATTCCATATCCTTGTGGACATTAAAAATATTCGATTCGGTGTCCCTCAACAATTTACAACACTCCCAAATACTCGAGTAATGGCCATTTGAAGTTTTCAAAAAAAATCGTAAAACCTCAATATCTCGGGTATTCTTCGCCCGATATCGGAGTGATGTACCTCTTTCGACTCGTACGGACTAGGACCTTTGATTCCCATTCAAAAATCCTTATTCTGAAACATTTCCCAAAATGACCATAAATGCAGTGGTTACATCACGTTTTTTTCGAAAATGGACTTGGTCCTGGATTTGAAAGTTTATGACAACAATCAATTCTTAGGACCTTTACGGTTACAAAACGCCCAATATGCCCGCGATTGGACTTCAAATACTCGAGTTATGGCCATTTGAAGTTTTCAAAAAAAATCGTAAAACCTCAATATCTCGTGTATTATTCGCCCGATATCGGATTGATATACCTCTTTTGACTCGTATGGACCAGGACATTCGATTCCCATTCAAAAATCCTTATTCTGAAACATTTCCCAAAATGACCATAAATGCAGTGGTTACATCACGTTTTTTTCGAAAATGGGCTTGGCCCTGGATTTGAAAGCTAAAGACGCCAATCAATTCTTAGGACCTCCACGATGACGTAACGCCCAATCTGTCCGCGATAGGACTTCAAATACTCGAGTTATGGCCATTTGAAGTTTTAAAAAAAAATCGGTAAACCTCAATATCTCGTGTATTATTCGCCCGATATCGGATTGATATACCTCTTTTGACTCGTACGGACCAGGACATTCGATTCCCATTCAAAAATCCAGATTCTGAAACATTTCCCAAAATGACCATAAATGCAGTGGTTACATCACGTTTTTTTCGAAAATGGACTTGGTCCTGGATTTGAAAGTTTATGACAACAATCAATTCTAAGGACCTTCACGATTACAAAACGCCCAATATGTCCGCTATTGGACTTCAAATACTCGAGTTATGGCCATTTGAAGTTTTAAAAAAAAATCGGTAAACCTCAATATCTCGGGTATTATTCGCATGATATCGGATTGATATACCTCTTTTGACTCGTACGGACCAGGACATTCGATTCCCATTCAAAAATCCTTATTCTGAAACATTTCCCAAAATGACCATAAATGCAGTGGTTACATCACGTTTTTTTCGAAAATGGGCTTGGCCCTGGATTTGAAAGCTAAAGACGCCAATCAATTTTAAGGACCTCCACGATTACGGAACGCCCAATCTGTCCGCGATAGGACTTCAAATACTCGAGTTATGGCCATTTGAAGCTTTTGCAAAAATCCTAAAACTTAAATATCTCCGCTATTTTTCGCCCGATATCGGATTGATATACCTCTTTTGACTCGTACGGACCAGGACATTCTATTCCCATTCAAAAATCCAGATTCTGAAACATTTTCCAAAATGACCAAAAATGCAGTGGTTACATCACGTTTTTTTCGTAAATGGGCTTGGTCCTGGAATTGAAAGCTAAAGACGCCAATCAATTTTAAGGACCTCCACGATTACATAACGCCCAATCTGGGCCCGATCTGACTTAATTTACTCGAATGTAGATTTAAAAAAGAATCATTTCCTAGTTGCCTGCTGTTTATGTACAGTATAATAGACAGCATACATTTGTGCTAGTCAATAAAGGAGCGAAAATAAATGAAAACAGGTTATTTACAGGTTGATTTATTTCTTGGAAAACTTCGCTCTGGTTTTCTTTAATTTAATTTATTTTTTTTAATTTTTTTCTCTTTTAATTATGTTAATGCTACTTGAATAGTTGCTCACTTTGTTTTATTGTGGACTCTATTTGTATTTAAACTTAAATATCTATTTCTTGAGAAATGACGTCCAATCCTGGATGGTTTTCCCTTTTTAGCCTTGTGGGAGTCGAATCAGTTGGAAATCTCGAGGTCCTTAATCTGAAAAGATGCAATATATAAGAATTAGACAAGTGAAAATAAAAGAAATAATTGGACATAACTTGTCTGACTATATATCGGCTAAATAAAGTCCGAACTTATATACTTTTGATATACTAAAGGAAAAGGTCAAGGTATGACAATGTAAGAAATCTAGGCACAGACAAGGAATACGAAAGAACTGAACAAAACAAGAAGAAAGTTAAAATCGGGCGGGGACTCAAGTAGGGGGCGGGTGGGTAGTTGAATGTGCGGAGGGAGGTCAAGAGTTCGGCGGGCTGACAACTAATGAAAAACAAACAAAGCTTACATTTAGGAGCTCTCCAGCTGCTCAGATGTCTGAGTGTGCGTGGCCACTTGAGTGTGTGTGTGTGTGTGTGTGTGTGTTTCACCGTGGTGTGGTGCGTGAGTCTGTCTGCTAAGCTGCGGACATCGAAATGAGTTTGTGTATGTGACCATACGTGCAACATGTGCAAAGTTCAAAGAACGCGAGACAAAATTAAAAGAGATTAGTCTAGGGAAAAGAGAGAGAGAGAGAGGGAAGAGGTGAAAATTGGCGAAAAAGGCAGAAATCAGATATGAAGCGAAAGGGGTAGGCTGAGATTGTTTGGGGGCTGCTCAGGACAGTGGACTGAACCGAAATGAGCATTAGATAAAAGCCCATTTATTTAACACTTATGACAGCTGATTTGGTACACACATAAGTATTTGGTGTGCGTGTGTGTATTTGTGTGCCAATCAATTGTCACTCAATACATCTTATCTTAGTTAATTAAATAAATTGAATTTTCTGTGCAATAAAGTGTAAATATTGTCTACATAATTTTCTTTATTAGGCAAATTGAGGCAAGGAAAAGCTGAAAACCAAAAATGTATTTATGCAACAAAATAAACATGATATGTTAAGCTAACCAATTTTGTATTGTATATTCCAAGCACTGTCGTATTTATTTCAATTGTTTTGTTTCCTTGAGGCTAATAAGAAATTTAAGAGAAATTTTGTTATTTAAAGCTGGGGATTTTCTCATCGTAAATTTTAAATGAAGTACAGTGGACGCTCGCGAAATAGAATGGATCTGTTCCAGGTAACATGTAAAATTTTCGAACTTTTTAATATTTCCCATGGTACAGTTTCAAAGGATTTTGAAATATTTTATTTTATTTTCCTAAAGCCAAACCAAATTCATTTTTAATAAATATTGCGTACAAGTTAATTCTCATTTCTGGCTTTGCTGACATAAGAGGGTTCACTGTCGGATGAGACTGTTTGATGAAAACATAAATAGTTTTATATAAGTCTGCCTAACCATTTTATAAAGTCTACTCCAATCGTAGACTATAACAATTGTTAAACACAGCGCTTAGTTTGAAGTATAAAAATTTTAAATTTAATTTTCTTCCTTCGCCCTTCTCCCTTCCACACAATTATTCCTTACTCATGAGCTGCTCAGTGTAATTCGTAATTAGTTTTTGTTAGGTTTCTATGGTAGTCTGTGTTCTGTACTCACCCAATCAAGTCTATAAATAATTTGAGGACAGTTTTACGAGTATTCTGGTCCCCATTGATAAAGTGTTGCCTTCTGGGTTTATCGGGCGTACTTCGAACTTTGTTACAATAATCGCAATGCCATTGGCTTGGTTTGCTGCTGCTAGTTGACCTATAAAAAGTACAAGTTTGACACAGGTTATTAAGTAAATGTAACTGGCACACAGCTTGCCAATAAGCACACACACACACACACGCACACACAACTGCGCCTGTACACATAAACAATACTTTATTTACACTGTAATGGCATATAAAATGGCTGCCGTAGCTATTTGCTGCGTATGTGTGTGTGTCCAGTTGTTTAATTTCTACGCTTTTATTTTGCCACATTTTTGTGTGCTGCATTTGTGAGGGGCGTGGCAGGCGCCTTGTGCGCTGCCCTGGCCTGGCTGCTTATTTATTTTCGTAATAACAATAAATAACATTTTTCTTACGTTTTTGCTATGTGTGTTTATTTGTGTGCGCGCGTGTGTGTGCTGGGCTCATTTGCTAAGTTGTTTTATGCGCCTGTCGCTTGTTTTGTGGCTTTTTGACATTATTTGGATTAAGAATATAAATCTTGCTCATGGCTGAACTTTTTTAATATTTTTTTGTCAGCTATCACAACAACAACAGCAACAAGAGCCAAAATAACAAATATACTCATCAAATTTACCTTGGCTCTGCCTGCGGCTCTTATTATTGCAGTTGGGCGATTTGTCTTTGGCAAATACACCAGAGTTTTCCAATCTCCAAGTTTAATTGAAAAGCAACTAAACAAATTTGTCTAACACACAAATAACGAAGAGATAGCAAAATAATCGAAATAAACATTTTAAAAATACAATTTCTATGGTTTCTTGCATAATTAAAACGATGCTCAACGCGCTCCTGTTGCAAAATATTCTTGTATATGTATTTCTATAATTTTGATGCTGGAAAATAACAGACAACGTTGCATTGTTGCTGCCTTGGTTTTATGCTGATGCCCTATAAACTTGTCTTAAACAACTGGGGTATATTTAAAGTATACGAATGTAGATATATTTTCAGACAGCTTAAGGCAGTTCAAGGCATTTGTGGAGTATGGAGCATATATGGCAAGGATAACATTTATCTGTCTTCAATTCCTCCAGTTCTATAATAACCTTTAAAAGGTCTGAATAAAATATATTTGGTATAATTACTCTTAAATAGTATATGCAGATTTAATATTCGTAAGATTTATTTATTTAAGTATACTACAGTCGTTACAGGGCAGCTTCTAGTCTAGCATATGCTGAAAGGGCTCTGTTAAATTCTGCACAATTTATTTGACAATAAAATTGACAGGAATTTCTGTGAAAAATGCATGTTTTGCATGTGAAAAATGGAGAGAAAAATGTGTGAGTACAGGTAAAGCGTAAGTGCCAAAATGTAGTGCATATGCACACCCATGTTTATAGAACGTTGACTCTGCAAAATATATATACATATATATATATATAAGCTTAGCCGAGGCATATCTGGGTAGACGGTTGCGAAATTCGGGACTGCATTAAAAATAGGAGAAAGAAAGGACATTCACATCACAGTCAAGCAGTTCGTGCTGAAGTGTGTGCTAAGAGTTGCTGCTAACAAACGTAAAAATGAAGGCTCACAGACTTAATTGTGCTCATAAATGGGCGCTGCCAAATGAGCTTCTAATGGAGTGAGTTTTTCATGTGGCTCACATATTACAACGTGCATATTTCAATTAGACGTGGCTAATAAAACATAAAAGATGCTCGCTGCCTCACAAGCCGCAGGCATTTAAAACTCACAACCAGCCGCAGCGAGCATCAGCATTAGCAGCAACTGGCTTTGGCCCTTTTTTCAAATGACGTGAACCGAGTGCTGCAAAATAATACCGCAAGGGGGGCCCAAACACATACACAGAGAAAGCGAAAGAGAACGAGAACGAGAACGAGCGGGAGTGAGATAGAGAGGGAAAGAGAGGAGCAGACCAAATAGTAACACATTTTTTGAATTGTGTTTGGCATTTCGAATGAATGAAAAGGCAAATGGGCGCCGGTGCATGAATAGCAAAAATTTCTGCTATGTGTGTGTTGTGCGTGTGTGTGTATCACACACGCACACTTCAAAAGTCCTTTGGCTTTGGCTTAATTAAAAGTTTGGGCGTGCATATCGCGCGCGCAAAGCGGTTGGAAAATTAACAAAATTGCTGAAGGGAAGGTGAAGGGGAGGGGGGGGGGGTTGCTGACTGTTGCTAATGCCGCCCACTGAAATTGCAGCTAAAACGTCGTAACGCCATTAGACTAAGCTGTGCCGCCATTTTGCAATTGCCTAGCTGCCGCTGCACCTGCTTAGTTGGGTGATATGCTGCGAGATGTGAAGTGGGCTGTGCGCTTTGGCAACGGCAGCAGCCATAACATTTTTGCGAAAATCGCAACTACGCTTAAAGCATGCCAAGTAATGGCAGCTAGTTGTGTGCATGTGTGCGTGCGTGTGTGCGTGTCTATAGCTCAGCCAATATGCAGCCCCTCCACCCACTCTCCCCCAGAGCAGACAATGCGACAAAGTAGCGACTGGCTGCTATACATTTTATTGTCTGCCAGCTTTGTTTATGTCATGCGCTACCTTTTCGCAGTCAGTGTGCGATGCGTGGGTGTGTGTGTGTGTGTGTGTGTGCGCGAGTGTACATTTTGCGCAAAACAGGCCAGAAATAGCACATATATGTGTGCGCATTGAAGCTGGCTTTTATCAGCATTTCAATCACAGGACTACCATTTTTAAGGTTTCTATTTTTATACGTTGGCCTATTTATATATCTTACGAAAGGAATAAGTATTAATTCTCGTTCAGTTATGTGAAAACAGATTTATATGTATTATAGCGGTTGGCAGCTTAGAGGCTTACTAATTAAATAATGCGCAAGTCGTATATGTATATTTCTCAGCTCGAAGCGCAGACTTAACGAGTTGCTCAAAACTCAACCGCATCGAAACTCGAGCGGAAAAGTTTTCTATTTCAGAAATGTTTTGGTGGAAAGCATAAAATTATCCTAGCAATTTTGCTAGATGCCAATTTAGAGCTGAGTTTAATTTAATATAGAATAATTTCAGATTTTTTCGTTTTTGAAAAGATTTAAAGAATATATATACTTTATATCGAGGCTATTTAATATTTGGCTATTTTTGTTAAATAATCGTATATTATGTATATGGCAATAATTGCCTCTAAAAGCTTAGCCGGTTATCAGAAAGTGTGTTTCTTAATAGCCTTTTTGTGGCTAAATCGTGGCTATATTTAACATTGAACTAACAACAGCTTTTAAAATATAATACTTGGCATGATGCACAACAATATAAATGCTATAAAATATAGTTGAATGAGCGAATGTCAATTTGATTTCTTGAAGTGCTTAAGTTCCGCTCCAAATCTTGGCCAGCTGCAGCACAAATGCAGGCACTGTCAACTGTTGCTGTTTCCCCTGCAGCTGCTGTAGGGGAGGGCTTTTGGCTTTGGCTGCGGCTGCGGCCAAATCAGACGATGGATCTGCCACACGCTTGGCGGCGCATTGATAGACATAATTGGCCGTGCTCACCGCGGGAGCTGCTGTCCAGGCGACTGTTGCATTGGAGCCATGCAGCTGGTTGGCTGCTGCTGTCGCATGGCTGTCAGCTGTGCGCCGCAAAGCTGTTGGGCCCGCGCAGCTGCCTGTGTCGGCCAACCAGCCAGTGGCTGGCCGCGATGGTTGCCACATGTGGCGTGTGGCAAAGGCCTCAGCTGCTGCCTCCGCCTGCAGCGATTGCCTGAGGCAATGTCCGTTTATTTTCAAAGCTGTGGGCATTCAATTGGGCTGATTTCGGCACCACTTTGGCACAGAAGCAATTGCACCACTTACCCAAACATTGGCTCAGCCACCAAATGCACAGCAAATGCAGCCGCATTATGAGCCAAATTTCTGAATCGATATATGCTTTCGATATTTCCGGCTCAGTTTGGGAGCTGTCGTAAATGTTGCCTGATTAGTTCAAGGACTGCTACTTATTGTTGGGCAAAGTTTATATAATACTTTTTCTTTTGACATGTTTTTCAAAGCTAGCTTCGACGCGTTTTCGCATTCGCTTCTTTTGCATTTTATTTTGAGACGCGTTGTTGTCGCTCTTGGAACTAAATCCATTTAAATTGACGCATTGACAATTGTTTCACCAATTCGATTGCATTTGTTTGTTGTTGTTGCAGTTGTTGTCGCACAAGTGCCACAACTTTTTTGCAATTCAGCTTCTTTGGCGATTATACTCTGCCATTGAGGTGTACGCACATTTTATTATTGACTTTGCCAAAACTCTTGGATTGGATTTGGGATGTATGGTACTTTATCTAAAGGTTAGTCAGAGAAGTGATTAAACAATTTATCCGATACTAAATCTAAGCTCAACTATTCAGTTTCTAACAATTCACGCCCGTGAGCGGAAAATGAATGGAAATCGATTTCGTACAAATTTATTTTATACTTTACACGCTTACTTTAAAGAAACTTTTGAGGGTCACATGACCTGAAAGTTTCCCCACTTTTATTTAAATCGAATCGAGGCATATTCACCCATACGCGTGAAAAATGAATGGAAATGTGATGCATAACATTTATTTTAAATATGCATTGCAAGTGCAGTTTCAAAAGTGAGTTTAGACATTTAGAATTTGATGAAAATCAGTAAGACGAAAGACTATGAAGAGTATTTCTTCTTAGACACTCTCTTAAGACTAGCTCATCTCTTGATTTTCGTTTATTTTTTGCGCTTTTTTCTTGGGGTATTTTTGTTGCTCAACCATTTTGACAACTGCTCACTGTAAATGTTGCCGTTTGTTGCCGTTGTTTCTGTTTTTGCAGCTGACTGGCACTTGGCTTAAAGTTCGTCTTGGGCTCACTCAGCTTTTAGTTTATTTTCAGCTCGCTTCCTTCTTTTTTTTTTTAGTAGTTTTCGCTGCTTTGCATAGCCAGCTAGTTTATCAAAACATTTTCAAGTTGAAGTGCGGCTGCAAAAACAATGCGCTCAGGGCATCGATTTTCTCAAGTGCATAAAGAAGCTTGGGTGGGGCTAGCGGGCGACATGGGTGCTGTGAAAACAACTCAATGCATGGCACTTAAGCAGCTCAAACAACAACAACAACAACAACAACAACAACAAATGTAGCACTTGCCATTTGGTTTGAAGGTGCAGAAACTTCCATGACACCAGAATGCAATTTGTGTGTGCGTCAAAGTTTGTGCAGCATTTACTTGCCAGCGTCTGTTGTTGCCACGGATTGTGTGTGTGTGTGTGCGTAAGTGTGTTCGTGGGAGTATTTGTGCAATCAGTCAGAGCCAGTGGCAAGGCAAGGCAACGCAAGGCAAAACAAGACCAGACTAGGCACTCTGCCAAGCAGCTTAAGCACTACTATTTGAACGTATATGAATTATGCCTCTATCTATCCCACCATTCATGGCCAAAACCAAACACAATTCTTGCCACACGCTGCGCTCTCTCTCTCTCTCTCTCTCTCTCTAATTCATTGAAACACAAGCGCAAAGCATAAACTTTAGTCAATATAATTATGCAGTAGCAGCAGCAGAAAATGCAACTGCAACTGTAAATATAATATCTGGATACCTTGGGATACACGAGTAAATGGGCGAGGTGAGTGTAAGAAATATATGGAAGCTGAGGCATGATTTTAAAATGTAAATGTAAAATGTATAAATATGATTTCGTAGCTTCAATAATTGACAAAAATAAAATGTTTTATTTCCACAGATTTTTCACACTCGCGAACGGAACTTTTCGTAACCATAATCTTCCGTTAAATCATAATCAAAGCAGAAAATAGAAATATATATAATATGTATGCCAAACAGAATGTATGGAAATTTAAGCCCAATTTAATACAGATAAACTTTAAAAAGTGTTAATAACCAGAATAACCCACGAATCCATCATCTCAGTTATCAATTAACTAATTTTATCAGAGCGGAGCTAAAGCCCAATAGAATAGAAAATAATTGAAGCATTTGTAATCTTATTAGCTTAATCTTTAGACTTATTAAACTACCCACGCATTATGCATGCCTGGGTTGGAGTATCTCTGTGCCGTGGGCTGACTTATCGAGCAACCGGCTCGTGCCGTCACGGAAACAAAGCTGGCAAACGCTTGGCACGTGCATTTCATATGATAAATGTTGTCGGTGTCGTTGTCGTTGTTGCTGTTGTTGTTGTCGTTGTTGTTGTTGTTGTTGTTGCTGTTGTTGCTGTTGGTGTTGGCGTCGTCATTGTCGTTGTCGCCTTTGCCTCAGTCGCGCCGCTGATTATGCAGCGCAGTCGCTGCCAATGCCAGAGTCGGTTATGCCACGGATGACAAAAAAACCTGCCTCGACTTCCTACGTTCGCCTAGGTATATCTTTTTATTGCACTCGCGCTCAAAAATAAACCGCAAAATGAGCTGGACGTGAGCGAGTGAAAGAGAGCGATAGGGAGACATAGTAATAGAGAGAGAGAGAGAGAGAGAGCAGCGTATTATTAGCTGCTCCTCGCTCTTGCGCTATGTCTCCACGCCGCGGCTTAGTTTGTATGCGGCGTCAGGTTTCGTTGTGTGTTAAATTTACGCTGACATGCGCTAACTAGCTGTATGTGTGTGTGTGTGTGCGTGTGTCTGTATATGTGTGTGCCGCACGTTGCCATTGTAACTTGCAACTTAAATGCGCACGTGACGCTGCCTCTGCTGCTGCTGCTTTATTGCGTGCACTGGTGAAAATTAAGAAGGTTCCATGCTTTTCCCCCTACCTACCTACCTACCTACCTAACTACAACACACACACACACACAACTTGTTGTGACACAGTTCGTGGATGACAAATATGCATTGAGATGTTTTTAAGATAAGTTCCACATACGCATACACCGTGGCTGCAATCTGATAAGTTCTCTGATCGAGGCAACATCACGTATACGCCAAGCTGTTCAACTATTTTGTTAAATAAGTTACACTTCTATCTGCTCAAAGTTTCATTTATAAATTGCATATCTCCCTTCTCGACATGACATTACGTATACGCCATGTTGTTTGTATATTTCTCTCTCAACTTCTTCTACATTTCTCTCTGCACGAGATATACTTTAATGTGTGCCCAAGGCAATATTAAGTATACGCCTTAGTATTAACTTGTTATAGGAAATAAAAAACAAACACACTTCTCTAATATTGCACTGCTCTCTGCTGGCTGTTACAATACTTTGTTCGATTTAAGATAAATTGCATTGGTGTCTGCTTAAGCTAACGCATACGCATTACGCATACGCAGCATTGGTCTTTGATGCAATCAGCAAAGCGCTTAACACGCGCCTTCCATAGACGACAATCAGGCTGAAGGTTTTATAAGGCGTGTGTCCTTGACACGCCTCGCAGCCCCAATACTTAAATTCCTGACAACTTCAGATCGAAATTGCGCAAACAACAAAAACGAAAGAGAAGTAAAACCAAAAATAAAAATGCAGCGGAACAACAACAGCAACAACAACAACAACAACAAAATCAACAACGACAACGTTGTCGACATTGGAATTATAATCAGAAAACTGCGCGCAAACAGAAATTGAAAGTCAACATGGCTGATGGAGGAGCCGAAGCGCTAGGATATTGAAATCAAATCACAGCGTCGTCAAATGCATTTAAGGCTATTTGCATTGCATTCCAGCTGTAGGGCGGATCTGCCTCCATCTCCTGCTCGCCTCTATCCACGCCCACGGCTCCTGTCATGTTGCTGTCGTGGTTCACGCCTCGCTGCACTTTGCGTGCGCCTTGGCATGTGTCTCTTAATTTTTCATACTTCTCCACACCCCAGTCCCCATTCCAACCCCTTCCTGAATTCCCAGTCGCTGTTGTCATTGCTGCTGTTTGCATGTCTGGATAGGAAAATTGATTTTTATCGCCTTGGGTGATGCGTTTGACTGACGCGCGCTGCTCTTCATTCAATACCCAGTTGTTTTCCTCTCTCTTGTTGCTGTTGTTGTCATAAAAGTGGCAAAACTATCTACAGCTGCTCGAATTCGGTCTTAAGTTTGCAAAGCACAATCGATATACAACTGCTTAAAGCAGACTGTATCAAATATATTTTGAAAACAAATAAAAATACTTATTTATTTGGTTTTTACTATGATTGCCTAATAATAATAAATAATAATCAGACATATCCTGAGCAGAGGGAAAAACTAATTCGTACTTCTTACTCACAATTCCCAACTAGATTTCTACTGAAAATTGAAAGGTCTGAAGCCGAATACATAATCGTATGTTAAATAGAATGTTGCTAAAGTATAAACGTTTCTTATTTCAATTCTATGAATTAAATTGTTGAAAATTAACTTGTTAAGTAAGAATCGTGCCCAAATCAAGTGTAAGATTTATTGGTCAAAGTTTAACATGATACGAGATTATTAGCTGTCGCCTTTCGCCTTTTCGACCTTGGTTAAATATATTGTTTCAGTGAAAAGTTCTTTTTATACTTTCATTAAATAACAATTCAATTAAACTCAAAGTAAGTATAACAAATAAAATATTTGCATTTCCTTTGGTATATTATAATGCAATTTCCACAATAATTGCTCAGCAATTTGCAGGCTCAGCAATTTGAATGCAACATTGACTGCAATTGGCCAGTCAAAGCTCTTTATTTAAATTATATTCATTCAATTTGGCAGTTTTGCTGAACTTTTAATTCGCCTGTCGCACCGCTCATTTACACCAATCTGTTAACAATTCATGAGCACTTTGTGTGGCCGGTGGCTTTTATGACATTCGAAATTAATAAAGCGCATATCCTGTTCAGTGTTTCAGTGAACCCGCTTGTTAATAAATAAATAACATCAACATTTGTGCTTCACACATTTAGCCATTTAATAAACACAAAAGCACGACAAAGGAAAATAATCAAATCAATATAAAAAAAAAACATAAATGGAAAATAATTTTCTACAGCTGGTTGACACCCACAAATTAATAATGAATATATGGCATGAATATATTTCA